CGGTTTTGCTTATTTGACCATGTTTTGGCTTTGAAAAATCAGCGCAAATTGACCATTGGAGCTCGGATTTACTTGTTGTGGCTCTTACCCGAGAGCTGGTTTGGTGGATGGGCTCGGTTTTGCTTATTTGACCCTGTTTTGGATTTGAATGGCTCGATTTTAGCTTTCCTTAGAGCTCGGATTTACTCGCTTTGGCTCTTACCCAAGAGGTAGCTTGGGAGTTTGGTTTGGTTTGTTCTTAGTCCTAACCGTGAGCTTGTTGGTAGATCATTTGGCTTGACTTTGGCCCCTGCTGGGCTCGGTTTTGGCATCTCATGAGCGTTTTTGGCTTAAATATACATATTGTGGAGGAATTTATTTTGATTTGAGGAAGTTCCATAGCTATTCTTGTTTGAAACATTTGGTAATATTATATTTTGATGTCTTGAGGGCATAGAGATGTTTTCTACCCTTTTGTTGTGGCCTGGGTTTGATTGCCCTCACCCGAGAAGTGGTTTGAGTGCGGTTTTGCTGGCTTTAGTTCCGACCCCTACCCGTGAGCTTGCTGGCAATCCTTTGGGTTTGTTTGGCTCTTCCTACACGAAGTGACTTGGGTGTTGATCGATGAGTCAAGTTTAAACGCATGTCTTTGCCCTGTCCATAAAGTGAGGTGATTGAAGAATGGGTTGAACAGTTTCCTTATTTCCTACTTGGTGAAATTAGAGTCGGTTTGGAGGCTTTGTGAGGGTTTATCCATTCACTCTCCTATGTATATCAAATATTTTCATATAATTGAATCGGTTTGCCTTAGTCGTGAGCCTCTTTTGGCCTTGGATTGCCTCGGCCGTGAGCCATACTTGTTGTTCCTTGGGTTGCCTTTGGTCATGGGCCTTAGCAGTTGTCCCTTACTGCCCTTAGCCGTGAGCCCTAATAGCTCCCCCCTTTCCTTTTTGGTTGCCTTGGCCGAGAGCCTTACCTGTTGTTCATCTCTTTGTATTGACCCCGACCGTGAGCATTTATTTGGTTATATGGGAAGATTTTATGCTTATTTGATATATGAGGCTATTGATTAATTTAAAAATTGTAAGATCCTGATTTTTGTATGGATTTGGAAATATTGGTGGTGGTTTCCCCAGGGTCACTTTCCTTTTGCTCGGTTTATGACGTTTGGGAGATTTCTAAGTCTCATTTTGGAAAAACATTTGGCTGTGACGAATTGATTTCATAAAAGATATCTTTGGGGTTTGGATACCGGCGTTAGGAGGTCATTTTGACTTGGGTTGATCCACTTATAAAAATGTGAGAAAATGATACCCTTTCGGATTAATTCAAGGATCTTCGGGCTTTCATTTTTAGGTCTTTTCGTCACGAATTTTGAGAGTTGATTCATCTTTCGTTCTATTCGATGTTTTAGGTGGATCAATCACTCCTCTCTCTCACCCCATTTTTGTTTCTTTTTTCCTTGTTTCTAGGTTTGGTTTTTTATGCTTATGTCCGATACATATGTGTCCACGTACAACATTTTACTATATGTGAAACCATCAAGCAAGGTCGCAAGTAGGTCGGTTTTGTTTGGGGGCTTAGGGCGGTGATGAAAAAGGCACACCAGAGATAGAGCAGAATGATATGTCATCCTACGACATCGGGATCCGATTCAGGAACCCATCAGGATCCGATTCAGGAACCCAGTAAGCTGTAGGATGACAATATCATTCACCGATACAAGACTAGCGGAAGTTAATTCGAACCTTCTTAGGTTGTTGGTAGTCTTATGTCCGACAGCGCGATCGACTCGTGGACCACTTTTAAAATTTGATAAAAACAAATTTGATAAGAACATATACACCTTTTTTTTTAAAAAATAAAAATACATTTTTCACTACAAATAAAATTGATACATCCCACTTTTTGCATGTTTGAAGTCTATATGCATGCTAAAAATATAAATTTTAAATACATTTCAAACATCACTTGTCCACCTGTGATCACCTGTTTAGGCTAAGGAGTACCCTCCTGAGTTAGGTTTGATAGGAAACCCTTCTAGTTGAGTGGCGGGTTTTATACATTCGGGTGACCGAGTAGCCTTCGACGATCCTCGAGTACTAATATATAGTTGAGCCTAGCCTCGACCCGAGTGCTTGCGGTCCCCCTCTTTTTGGAATTTTTCATATGTTTTTCTTCGAATTTTTAGACAAAGCACTCGTGGTCTTTTTTCGGGATTTTCTCTTGTTTTCTACGATTTTAATTGATTTGTCGATTCACTGATTTCCTCACATTTCGCTTGTCGTGAGTCTTTTGACGATCTTTCTCGAGATTTCTGGACGACGTTTCTTTGGTTTCATACATATAAAGCAATTCAGTATGTTTTCTCAAGTTTTGTTGCTTGTACATGTTGCATCAATTACACCCATGGAACAGCGGATCTCCCAGATATACAAGTTTGTTTTATGTTTACAGCATGTTACTTTCTTGCAAATCACCTACCTGCTGTATTCTTTTTACTTTTCTTTTACACCGTATTTTATATTGTTTTCTTTACAGCATATTCCACTGTTTGTTCAGTGCTGCATACCCTACTATTATGCTATACACTTTACAGCTTCAACATGTTATCCATAAAATATTTGACTACAACCATAGAGCCGTTGGATTTGATATTATAACCTGACACCCTAGAAAACTCAAAC